TTGTGCCTAAAAGATCTGGCTTGTACCTCTTTGATTTGTGTTTTGACATAAAGTGCACCTTTTCAAAAATGGCTAAGTTACTTTTTCTAATTATGGATTAAACTTCCATGTAATGACCAAATGAGCAAAATAATGCTAGAACACAATGGATTGGCATTTAATTATTGAGTGTAAGAAGGATTAGAGGCCTGTAATCTAGCTTGTACAAGCTGAGTTTGAAAATGCAAAGTGTATGAACGTGCCTTGGTCAAGAACAAAAGTGGATTTTGCCCAACTTTGCAAATTCGATTCTCCCTAACCACAAGGGTGTTTGAGAAGTTCTTAGATAATTTGGAAAGCTTGGAATGTGTACTACAATCCATCTTTGTAATGCAAGTTGAAATTCCAAGTGGAAGCATGTGAAAAGTGGCCATGAAGTTAGGCAAAAATCCTGCCTAAAATAGGTCAAAAAATTTCTAAATTAAGAATGTTTTGCACCCCTATTCCAAAAATCATAACTTGAGCTACAAGCTTCTTTTGAGGAAAATTTGTGAATCAAAGTTGTAGATTTTGCAATGGAATATAACTTTCATGTTTTGAGTTTTGTTTGAATCCAAATGTATCTTGATGAAAAGATGGGACAAAGTTAGGAAAAAATTAGGAATTTTCATAACTTAGAAAATTTCTAAGTTATGAAAATTCTTCATTTTAAACCCTAATTTGTAATTCTTGGTTTCTTGATGAACAAGTTTCATAATTTGACATGTCTTGATGAAAAATGAATCTTGGCACTTGATTTTGACCAAAAAGTCAAAGTTTGACTTTTCAGTATACAGTCAAATTTTGCTCAGTTGACTGGAAAATTCATTTGTCAATCTTGTGCATTTGGGATCTTTTGAACTTGTTGAATATGTCAAGACCATGTCATTGAGTCCTTGAGTCCATATGTGAGCTTGGTTTTCCATTGGCTAGGTCAAACAGTCAAAAATTGCCTTTGTGCAGTCAAAACCCTAAAAATGACCATTTTGCCCTTTTGGTGATCTGATCAAATTTCTTGTGGAATTGTGATCCAAACTTGATCAAATGGTCCATATGAGTTCATAATGTTGATGTGGGTCAAAAATCATGAGGTTTGACTGTCAATTGACCACAGTTGACTTTTTCTTTAATACAGTTGATTTCTAGGTCAACTGTCCAATTGACTGGGCAAAGATTGGAATCAAGGCTTGAAACTTGGTATAGATAAACTTGTGAGTCCAACATGAAGCATGAAAGTTACTTTGGGCCTTTTAGGTCAAAACATCTTTGTGCAAACTCAAACCCTAATTTGGGTCAACAGTGCAAGGAGGAGTCTTGAGCAGAGCAAACCCTAACTTGATCTTGAGCTCCAAAGGTCTTGTGATGAGAAAATGTTGATGAAATAGGAGGGCAAATTTTGGGGTACAATAATGTTCTTTCTCTTTTTAGATTTTCTTTGATGTTTTCCTTTTCCTTCTTTGAGATAAAATATTCGATGACTATTCTATCTGTGTATTTTTTCGCAGTAGAGACAAAAGTGAACCACTTTGAATGACACTTCGACTTGTTAATAATTATGTCTTTTTGAAAAGATAACTCGTTGAATAAATACGTCCAAATGTTACATATAAACTATACTTAATCTTGATTTTTAAACAATGTAAGAGAGTGTTTGGTATCACGTTTGCAATTTACAAAATCACAGTGGCAATTGCTTTTTACCGTGGAAATGAGAAGCTACTAGTTGTACCTTCTATTAAACGTACATTTTTTATGTTTTCCACCGTGATTCAAAATAAGTACTAAGACAAGACTTTTTAGTGATTTGAACAATTATGACTTTGGAAATATTTGTTTTCAATGTGAATGTCTCGGTCACACGTGATATAACAATATAAACTAATAATACTAAGAGCATCCACATCCATCATATCCATTTGAGTTCTTTAAATGGGATCCACATAATTTTTTATATTATTTTAAACTTCTCAATTTTTTAAACAACCCATCTACAATTCCTAAATATCCATGTAACTCATAAAAAAATCTAAAATGGGTCCCACATTTAAAACAAATCAACTACATTCTTGAAATTTTATTTATTAATTTATTATCATGACCCACTTAATTGGAGTGTAGAAGCGTGCTTTAGTATGAGGACGTGCTTTAGTTCAGGAACGTGAAAACAAGTGAAATATCCATTTATTATTGACACAATTTCTTTAATAAATATGTAGGAACTCTCAAAGGACACCGATAATCATGCTCTAAATTTCACTTTATTGCAGAAAGAGAAAGTGTCCTCGATAAATATATATGTGTCTAATTTTATAGAAAGAATATTAAAAAATAAATATTGCATCTAGGCAGTGGCGGAGCCAGGAAAATTATGAAGCCTGGGCAAGTTTTCATTGGCTTCATAATTTTCTACCAAGACAGTACAATGCTAATCCCAAAGGAATTATTTCCTTGAATTGCAATTACCTCTTCAATTTGTAAGATTTCAGATTTTATAATATATACATGTTAAAATTTCGGATTCTATAATATATACATGTTACAGTATTTCAGGTGTGCTCACAAAATGAACAAACCTATAAAAGCCGAGAAAATTAGTTCAACACGCTCATTTGGGTGAAATTAAGTACTGCCTAAAAACACCGCTATCAATTCAAATTTCAAATAATGTTGTCAAATGCAGATCGGCGAAGTGGTGGTTTGTTAAAATTCTGGTATGCTACAATGTTGTAGAGCCACTATTTGAGAACACATTATACTAAGTAGCATAACAAAAAACAATAGAGATGTGATCAAATTCCGCTACACTATAGTACAATAGCTATAACTGCTATTTAACAACAATGATTCCAAGATATGCCAATCTAAGTTATCAACAAATAAAAAATTATGATAACAAGCCATACCTTTCAATAGTTCCTCTGGAAAACCATGTGGCATCGCTTTCAGGGTCATCCCTAGGCTTCTTCGCGCAACCTATGGGCCTGACCCTTGGGTGAGTAGGGAAGAAGGCGCGATTCTTTAAGGGATTTTCGACGCATGAAGATAAAGGACCAGACATAGCATACATGTCTCCACTATATCTAATAGGAATGAGGAGCTAAGAATCATATGCTTCTCGCCACTCCCTTGTCATGGGTTCAACAATGTACCGGTCAATCGAGGAAGGAGAAGGGTTAGTGGAAAAGACCTCCGGTGGGTTTTGGACATCATCAGCGTTTTTAGGTTGAGGATTGTTTGGTGCATTGGAGAGGAAAGCCATTGTTGAAGATTTGGGAGAAAACGAAGCTGACAGTACAAAGTGTTTGAAAGCAAGAGATTTGGAAATGCTGGAAATGGTAAAAGTTCCAAATAGAAAGGCTCAGAAGTATTTATAGCCTTCAGGGAGGGATATGTCTCGTCAAGGCCATTTAATGTTTTACAGATAGTGGGGCACGTGGCGAAATGTGAAACGGTTACCGTGCAGACGTTTGGAAACGTTTTGACATGCTTGCCTAGGTTATAGGAATATGGTCATCATGGCAAGCGTGGTAACAACAGTTAGAAAAGACATCTTGGAGAAAGAGTAATGATGGTTTTCTCAAGAGCATGCAGCTGTTGGAAGACGAAAAGCACACGTCAAAATATTGTGAACAACTAGAAAGACAGGTGTCGAATGGAAAGATCAAAGAATGGCTATTTCTTTAAGCGTAGAAATAGACATTCTTGGGGGGCAATTTGTTGGCTCCCAAATTAGACACTTACTATATTTGGTCTTTTAGACCAAAAACTGGAGTAAACCAAGTCAAGAAGAATATTTGACGTATGAAATAACTTAGGAGAAAAATCTAAGTTATTTTTTAGCCTTCGACCAAGGCTCACCTTCAGGCCTGTTCGACTGAAGAGGACTTATGTCCTTCGACGGAGAGAAAATATCTTCGTTTTGACACGTGATACGAGGGATATTCGAATTTGAATTATTGGAGGGAAAGGCAGTTTCGCCAGCGGCTAAGAAAAAGCAACGTGGCTGAAAGCCATAGGTCGAGGGACATGCAGAAGACACTTGTCTTCATCTTAGCGCAGAATAATCCCTCGACAGTTACTTATTTTTAGTATAAATTAGGAAACTTGTGTAGTTTTTAAGGGTGTTCAACCTATTGTACTAGTCACTAAAAAATTATCCAAGTAACCGCTGCATGAGAAAGGATAAAACTGAGAAATGTACGTTGGAAACACCTCTTTTTATTAATGAAAGTCTTTTACATTGCTTTACTATTATCTTGCAAAGTTATCTTTCTTGCTTCTTTACTTGCATCTCTACATTTCTGCCTACTTTTCTAAAATCTCAAACATCTTTTCTCTGGGTCGAACGTGTGTTATTCCTGCTTATCTGTCTTACATAAAAATTAGCATATGTTCTGGGATTAATCTGATCGATCTCGTAAGTAAACCAAAAAGAACTTTCTTTTTTGGAGATCAACGATTGTTTACCAAAAATCACGGTAAACACATATATTAGCCATGTATCATTCGCAGATATATTATTTGATGAATTACGCGGATTTAAATTATTTGATAATAAACTGGTAGACAATGTGTCGACCGGTTTAATTACTTGAAGGTGAAGATCCTTTTTTATGGAATGTTAAAATTAATTAATTGTCATTTTATAATTTTGATATTTTAATTACTATTATTATAAAAACTAAAAATTAACTAAATAAATAACTTATAAACTAAAAACATAAACAGAGGGTCTAGTTAATAGAGAGTACATGTTAGCAATGTTGGGCCCAAGTCCCAATTATTATGTAAATCAAAAAGTAAAAAAATAAATAAAGAAAACCACTTTAGTAAGTAAGCAAGGCGGCTGATTCGTGAGATTAATATCTCATTGCACTTTCAATTTAAAAGAAACAATCATTTATTTGCAAAGCATTGATTTGTTTTAAAATAATAAAAGTAAGAAACAAACAAACGAGTAAGTGGGAGAAGACCCAAAAAAGTCATGTTGCAGATTCGTCTTCCTCCCTCTCTCTCACGTTCCTTTTTTCTTTTCCACTTGTTAAAAAAACATTAAACCACCAAAAGAAACTCAGAAGACGGATTCGTGACGGTGGAGCGCAAGAACATAACGGCGGGTATGATGAAGATTTATGGTGGGTCGGACGCGGTTGTGGTGGGTGTCGCGAGTTGCGTCGTGGACTTGCGAATCTGAGTATGTGGCGTGATTGCTGGTGATCGGAAACGGTGATTTGCAGCGCGAACGGGGTTTCGATCCGAATGCTTGCGATTCTATAGGTTCGTCGAGGATGGTGGATGCGGTATCTGAGAGTCACATCAACGATTCGATGAAACTCAAACCGCAAATCCGCAACCCAGCCAACAACAACACCGTACCTCACCGGGGCGGCCGAGCCTGGGCAGCTGCCCTAGCTGGCTGGACGCTGGCTCCGCCAGTGCATCTAGGTGTTGCGCATTACATCCCATGTATTTCTCACTGATTATATAAAAAATTAAAAAATATCTTTGTTTAAAAGTTAATTTATGGACACACCCTATATAATGTTATTTATATAATTTCATCTAACAAAAGAAACCAATATATAGTGTTGTTTATGTAATTTCATCTAACAAAAGAAGCACCCTATATAATGTTATTTATATAATTTCACATAACAAAAGAAGTGAGTCTTGAAATTAACATCCTAGACAATCTATGTATCCAATGACAATTCATCCACTCTATGCAAATTTTTCTTTCCACTATCAAAATTAAACCTGACACCTCTTGAGTGCAATGCTTTTATTATAATATTTTTTGGAATCTTTTGCGTTTTAAAAAAAATATTATGTGTTTTTCAAATTTTTTGATTTTTTTTAGTTTTATCTATTTTTTTGTGGAGAATTTCATGATTTTTTATTGAATTTTTGAAGGATCTATAAGTTTTGATTACATTTTTGAGAAATTTCACAAGTTAATAGGAAAATTTTCAAAATTAAGTAAATTTGAACTATCAATTTTTTTTAAAATTTTTTGAACCTTTATCAGATTTTTCTAATATACTATTAGATTCTTTAAATATTTATGATTTTTTATCATATTTTTCAAAAATTCGATAATGTTAATTTCGTGTTTTTGCATATAAAAAATGAACCACCGATTTTTTTTGTAAATCCAAAAAATTAAAAAACATATTGAATTTGTACATTATTGAATTTTTTATTCATATCATATTTTCAGATTTTTATTATCCCTTTTTTGGTTGAATTTTAAAAAAGATATTTTAATTATTATGAAATTTTTTGGAGTGCAAGTTTAATTGTGGATTTAATTGTGGGGTGGTAGATAAAATTTGAGGTTTTAATTTGACACTTTTCATTTGAATCTGACACTTCTAAAGTGGATGGAAAAAAATAAAAATAGTTCAATCAAAATTTTTCATATATTTTTGAAATTTCTAGTATCACTCATAAAATTTCAAATTTATAAGACGATATCGGATATTTTGTGGGCATGTCGAAAATTTCATGAAAAAGTAAAAATTTATGGTATTTTAAGCCAAAATTTCGGTATTTTATCATGAAAATTTAGAAATTCCCGATATTTCGTGTTGGAAATTTGTAAATTTCTGGTGATTTTGTTACGTTATATATCGAAAATTTTGGAATTTCTGAATGTTCACTTTGTGTACCGAAAATTTATAAATTTCTGCTAGTTCATTTTTTTTGAAAAATATCAAAAATTTAGAAATTAAAAACAACTAAACATGAAAACCTAGGCACTACCGGATGATTCTAGACGTTCCGCGTATCCAACTCGATCGGACCCATGCCAAAATGATTTCCACATGACCTTAACATCTTTGTCGGTCTTCAACTCAATCATGTTGTATTTCATCCTTCCATCACTATCAATTCAATCATCCCGAAATTCGATCTTACTCACCCTTCGATTATCGGTATCAGACATCAATTCATTCAATTTATCTGTCAAATTGGCGAAGGATGCGATGCCATCTGGAAACTTGAATTCAATAGGAAGATTATTTCCGTTGAAATACACTTCTACCTTAATCAGAAATTCTAGAAGAGACATTTTTTTGAGATGTCTTTGTCTCTAACATATGCCCTTATTTATACAAATGACGATGCATTCTAGATCACACAAATCCATCAGTGCAATCAAAAATCTCTAAAGTTGTCGGTAAAATCTTAATCATTAAAAAAATCTTTAATCACGAAACTATAGGAAATTTCAGTATATTTAAAATTTCCGGAATTATATCTAAAATTTAATTTTTTATAATGTATTAAAAATTTCATATAAACTATCAAAAATTATTATGTACCGGAATTTTATTACTCAACTACCAGAAATTTCTCTGTATAAAAAATTTCACTTATTTTACTGGAAATTTCGTCTAAAAATTCTCTTCAAATAAGCAAGAGTATTTTAGAAATAATGAAAATCGGGGGTGCCAGATTTAAGTGGAAAGTGTTAAGTTAAAACCTCGGAAAATTCTCCCACTCAATAGGCCAAAGCCCAAATCGTTTTTTAATGGTCGACACATTAAGGTCCAAACAATATAAAAACCCGACCCATATCACAAATTAGGTTTCGACACCGTTTCTCGTTTATTTGAAGTTTGGCATCGATAGTCCTTCCTCACTCCCTTCTCCCTCCGCAAATTAGCTTCACCTCCGCCGCTGCAGCCACCGTCTCAGTCCTCCTCAGCAGAATTAGCTTCCCCTTTCTTAACAAAATTCGTGTTTACATAACATAAATAAAGGAACCTTTATTCTTCAGGACATAGAATGGGGAAAAAAGGAGGCAAAAGCTACAAGAAGAAAGACGTAACAAACGCTACAACAAGTTCCCGACGCGACCGTCATGTGTTTTCTACTCAAGATATGGACGATGCGATTGATGCCTGTAACCGTTTTTTTCTTCTGCTGATTGAAAATTTGATTATGATTTGTTTTTCTAGTTATAATTTGATAATATCTGTTTCACATGATTATTAAGAATTTCGCTTCGATTAAGTGATTTGATGATCTTTATTTGCAGTTCATAAGCAAAGAGATATTGTTCCACTCGACGTAAATGCTGATTCTGGAGAATCGGATGAAGATGATGAAATACCTATTTTTGATTCTAAGGATATTGATAACGATGATAGTGATGATGATGATGATGAGGAGGATGGCGAGGATGATGATGAGGATGACCATGATGATGTGGATGATGAAGATGATGCTAATGGCAAAAGCTACATTGCAAAATGTAAGTTATTGATATAGCTTTGGTAGTGTTCTGTTTGTTGAAAATTGAAATTCTTGGTTACTAAGTTTATATTATATAGTTTGGGTTTAGGAAAATAGTTCTTGATTTCCTTTTTTATTTTTGAAAGTTTTGAAAGTGGAGGTTATTTGAAAGGTGTGATTATGATAAGCATGTGTTTGTTTTGTTTAGTAATTAGGCAAAAGAAATATTTAGATTCAAAGCATGGTGGAGATGAAGACGAAATGCAAGATGATGATGAAGATGAGGGAGATATTAAAACAATTACCGGTGGTAGAAAGTATGCGCATGGTGCTGAGAATCGTAATTTTGAGGTGAGGATTTGAGCATAGCATTTGAAAAGGATTTTGCCATGTGTAATATCTAAAACATTGATGCTTATTTGTACTTCTTTTGGGGTAGATCAAGTGAATGGTTATTTTCCCATACTCTTTGTTTTTTTCTCTTGAATAATTGTAACTTGTTGGTTTCAGCTACAAGATAGTGATGACGAGGCCCCAAAAGAAGAGGAAAAAATTGCAACTGACATGCAAAGGGAGAAAGCAAAAGGCTTAACGATGGAAGACTTTGGCCTTGAGGACATTGATAATGACAAATTAACCTCTAAGGTGAGTTCTGCTTAATATCTCAATGGCATGTTGCCCAGGCATGGTCGATTTCTACTTAAATGGATGAAAACACATGCTTACTAGGTGTAGAATCTGTCAACAAACTTTTAGTAAACGTCTATATCTCTATAGGATGCAACAGATAAAGGAAACAAAGTAATAAAACCACTGGATAGAGATGCAACTTTCAAGGCTGAGGATCTGAATGCTTTATCAAAGGAGGAGCAAATGAACGTCCTGTATAGGTTAGAATATTGTCCTTATCTTGCCATTAATATTAATGATTGCGTTTTATCATGTTCCCATTTTGTGCATTGTACCCTATGCTACTAAACCAGATACCAACATTGCATCCATATCTGTGAATTACCTTCAGATGAAAAAACATGATTTCAAAAGTATGCATGTATTGGATTGCTGATTCGAAACTAAATAAATGGAAGATAGAAACCTAAATAATATTGGTGTTTAAAGTATATGGAAGAGAAAATGGCAAAAATTTGGTGTCCTTGATGCTCTATTGGAAAACTGATTAATCTAGGGTAGACTAGTTAAGGTCACCTTCTGAAACCATTGGTGAATAGAAAAACATATCTATATGCTCAAGATATTAAGAACATCAACATAAAAGCGTGTGAACCCCACACAGAAAAGATGATTAGAAATTACCTACCAAAATTGATTGAAAAAGAAAAAAAATGAAATGGAATATGTCCTGCTATTAGAGGAAAAGGCCTAATTTGAGGGTAAGCAGTGGGAAAAAAAAAGAAAGATTGAGCAACTCAGTAGAAACCTGAGCTATTGTCTTGCTGATTTTACATGTGCAGTACTGCAGTGTGAGAAATATCTTTGATTGTGATCAATTGCCATTGCTTTGAGTATAATTATTTTTAAATAAAATAATTTTCATTTTGCGATGCGGTTTCAGATGCATTACCAATCAACATCAATTTTTTTTTGGGGTAAAACCCGTTCGATTTCAAATGATTGATATGCCTTGGCCATGATAGTAAGAGTATAGACTTCCCTGTTTTTCTTGAATTGGTGACTATCTTCTCTTCTCTTTGCAGGTCTGCTCCAGAATTAGTTGATTGGTTGTCAGAATTGAATGAGGCACACACAGAGCTTGAATGCAAAATCAACCCATTTTTAAACAAGGTTTTTCTTTCTCCCGTGTTCTTTTTTTACCCGCCCACTTTCTTCACTAGTAGTTAACAAAACCATGTGAAAGAGGCTGACATGTATTTATATTAAATAGTCATAGTCTACAATAATTTAAGTTTAATAATGGATATCCCTTTTTTGTTTGGTGGAAAATGCCATATTCATGTTTTGATGGTAAATTCACGCAACCTATTGAAAGCATGGCAATGTGATTGACTTGGAATGGAATGTTGCCGGAAAATGGCTCCGAGGTCTGTGGACTTCTGAAGAGCAGAATCTGTCAATTGATATATTTTTAAATTTATCAATTATATATCAAGAGAGGCTTA